AGGGAAAATTTTGGGGTACAACACACCCTGTCAGAGTATTGTTATCCATTGCTGCCATTAAGGGTTGGCACTTGGAACAATTGGATGTAAACAATGCTTTCTTGCATGGTGACTTGAATGGGGAGGTATATATGTCAGTTCCACCTGGTCTCTCTGTTTCCAGTTCTACTCAGGTTTGCAAGCTACAAAAGTCATTGTATGGTTTAAAGCAGGCTAGTAGACAGTGGTACTCTAGACTTTCTGTGTTTCTTCTTTCCTTGGGGTACTCTCAATCACAAGCAGATCATTCTTTGTATACCAAGTCTATTGAGCACAGTTTCACTGCTTTACTTGTCTATGTTGATGACATAGTCCTAGCTGGGAACTCTCTACAGGAAATTCAGTTTGTTAAAAATGTTCTTGACAAAGAATTCAAGATCAAGGATCTTGGTCAATTGAGGTTCTTTTTAGGTTTTGAAATTGCAAGGTCCTCTAAGGGCATTTTTTTGAATCAAAGGAAGTATGCTCTTGAGCTTTTAGAGGAGACAGGTTTACTTGCTTGCAAACCATCTTCTGTACCTTATGATCCTAACTTGAAACTTTTTGTTTCTACTGGTGAACCTTTGCAGGATCCTTCTTCCTATAGACAGTTGATTGGTAAATTGATTTACCTTACTAATACCCGGCCATATATTTCTTATGTTGTTCAACAGTTAAGTCAGTTTGTGTCTCATCCCTTACTTCCACATCATCAGGCTGCCATTAAGGTTCTGAGATATTTGAAGAGTTTTCCTACCAAAGGCATTTTGTTCTCTTCTAATAGTGCTCTTAAAGTGTATGGTTTTGCTGATTCTGACTGGGCACGATGTCCAGATATGCGCAGGTCAACAACTGGTTTTTGTGTTCTTCTAGGTACTTCTCTCATTTGCTGGAAGTCCAAGAAACAGAACACAGTGTCACGTTATTCAACTGAAGCAGAGTACCGTGCCCTAGCATCCTTGACTTGTGAGCTTCAGTGGCTTCAGTATTTGTTCAAAGATCTCACCATCACTTTGTCTCAGCCTGCCTCAGTCTATTGTGACAGTAAGTCTGCTATCTACTTGGCTCACAATCCTGCATTTCATGAGCGTAGTAAACACATAGAACTTGACTGCCATGTTATACGTGAGAAGATTCAGTCCAAGCTCTTGCACCTTTTGCCTATATCTACAGTGGATCAGCTCGCGGACATGTTTACTAAGCCATTACATTCTCCAACTTTGACCTCCATTTTGTCCAAGTTGGGTCTATGCAGTATCCATAGTCCAACTTGAGGGGGCCTCTTAGCTTATATTAGATAATAGAATAGATCATTAAGTTTTCTATTTTGTTATTATCTTGATCCAATGGCTGTTATTTAATCTATGCTTATGCATATATTATATATTGGCCACTTGTACAGATTTAATTGATTCATTCAATGCAACAGTAATCACTTTACTCTTTCCTTGCCTTATCATTTTCTGTTAAGATACAGTTAGAATTTTGTTGCTTCTGTTTTCCTCCAATGGAGTTTTTCACCATTCTTGATATGCTTCTAAATAAGAAAAGATTTTCTATTTGAAGCCAACCTTTTAAAAGCTTCAATATCTCCCTTGTGTAAATTTTCAAAGGCGTCAAGTAGATTAAGATGAGACTATCCATTTTCAAAATCATTTTTAGATGAGTTTACCTTGTTAATGTTACCTTTTTGATGATGATTATAATGATGAATATCATTACTTGTAGATGATATTATCCTTTTCTTCTTATCTTCACATGATAATGATCTAAGAGACACACTTCATCATACTTAGAGGGTACGTGTCCTTTATTTCTTCTATCATTGAGATGAGTTGAAAAACACACATCTTCTAAATCGTCATCATCAATAAATTCTTCATCACTTGAGGATTCAACGTCACTTCCCCAAGCCACATATACTTTCCTAGGTTTATCATGACTCTTGAGTTGATTCCTCTATTTATTTTTGTCAAGTTTGGAGTCATCCTTTTTGGATCTTTCTTCCTTAAAGGATGTAGTTTTTCCTTTAGGCTCAATGCTTCTTTTGTTGAGACTTTTATTATTTCTCATACTTGTGATACCTTTTGACAAATAAACTCATATATTCCTCTTCCTAATTTTAGTTGTTATTAACATCTCTATCATAATAATAGTGCTCACCCTTTGAGGACTTTGAACTTGAAGTCATGAGAGCTTTAGACTTTAATACTTCCTCCTTATTAGTGTATTTTCTTTTCTTTTTCTTTTTCTCACGCTTCTTTTCATATTTATCCAAGCAATTGAGTTCTTTCTCGTGTTTTTCTAAATTTCCAATAAAGGGGGAGAGATCGAGTGTTGCAAGATTATTGGCTTCCTTGATCGCGGTAACCTTTGGTTGCCAATTCCTAGTAAGATATATCAATACCTTATTAGTAGCAATAACATTGAAAATATGATTACCTAGTAAATTGAAACGATTAATAAGACGTGAGAACCGCTTTTTCATTTGAGCCATGGTTTCCCCTTACTTCATGCGAAAGAGTTCAAACTCTTGATTGAGTACTGTATTAATTCTTTTCATTGAAAACTTCAACCAAGGCACCATACCTCATTTGATTTTCTTATCCCTGATGTAATTGTTCTTCAAGGAGAAAAGCATATCAATGGAGTATCAATTTGATTTTCTTCTCTCTTCAATTTTGGTTACAAATTTGTTATAAGTGGACCCACTAGTTATGAATCAGATCTAGAATTCTTACTGTTCATATAAGGTTTAACGATGGATCTAGAGTAGAAAATGAAATTGAATTGAGGTGTTAGTAGGGAGACGGAAAATGGAAAGATGTAAAAGAGGGAGAAAGAAATGAGTCTTATAACCTTTGAGTGTTAAGATATGTGAGTCTTTGTTGCTTCTTGTTAAGGAATAGCTTGAAGCAGAGAAACGAGTGCGAGCAATAAGGAGTGGTTTTCGTGATATGTATATAGCCGTTTTCACTCATATATTACGGAAATAAATTAATTACAATCACAATCACAAGTACTTTGTTGTTCTCTTAATCTACACGTATCACTATCAAGTACAAAACTATTACTTTATTATGCCATGCATGATTGTATTGTGTTGACAATAAATCACTACGTTAATTATGTCATGTTGTCAATAAATCACTAGGTTAATTATGTGATGTCATGCATGATTAGAAGAACAATGTACTTGTGCTTTTACACGTATTAACTTAGTATATGATTTTACTACAAATAAATTTAATTGAAAAGTATATTTGAATTGAGACTCATATTTAGAAACCAATATCAACCGTGACTAGGCATTACTCAAAATAGTGGTTGTTAGCTGTAAGATACAAGGGTTTTAGACAACCACGTAATTTTAAATGTAAAAAAAGATGAATAAAAGCTCATTCATTATTTTGGACTTGTCCTTGTTAGTATGTCCGCATAAATCAGTTTTTGGTATATCTTAGCACTGAGTGAGTAGCAGTACTTAATACTTATTGCTCCATTCATATTGAAAACTTGTTTTTTTTTTTTTGTTTGCTTTTAAATAGTATGGAGTGGATCTCGAAGAAGAGTATTGTGGTTGTGATTATATTCGAACTTTTATCAATTTTTTGTTCTATCATCCTAATTAGTTTAATAAGATTCAATTATATTGAAGCAAAAATTCAGTTATATTCTAACGAAACCAAACATATAAAAATTAGTTCTTCATATTTTGAATGTGTAATATTATTCATGTACATGCAATGATAAAATGTATGTATGTGTAAACAATATTTCTCATGGTTATGCAATCTAAGCATTAAAAAAAATACACATATATATCAAAGTAAGGCAAACACACATATTTTGTACCATTTATCCAAAGTCACTATAAATATATAAATTGAAATAATCACATATTCAATTTAAATTTTTTGGAAGTGAACATAGGATCAAAAGGCATTCAACATGTATTTTATATATTTTGTGCACATAGATAGATAAAAGAACTGTCTTACTCTTAGAAGACGTGATAAATGAACACTACAACATTTGTTTTCTTTGGCAACACTTTTTAATGCAACATGTAAAAATTGTTGCAAAAAACTTATTTCTGGCAACATTTTGCGCGCGATGCTAACAATATTTTTACAACAACTTAAAAATGTCCCCTAGGACACTTTTGAAAACGGTTCTTAAATGTACCTCAGTTATTGTTTTGGCAATCATCAATAATTTTCCCCTTAAACGCTTATGAGGACGTTTTGTAATTGTTGCACCATTTACAATTTTTTTTTTTGCATAAAACTTTAATATTAATAAAGATCTGGATTACAATCTTCCTTTTAAACATATATATATATATATATATATATATATATATATATATATATATATATATATATATATATATATATATATATATATATATATATATATATATATATATATATATATATATATATATATATATATATATATATATATATATATATATATATATATATATATTTCTATATAAAATACTTTAATAAAAAGATATAATTTTTTCTTGTCATAAATAAAATATTAATGAAAATTTTGATAACAATTTTCTTGAAAATATGTTCACGTTTATTTACTGTTATTTATTAGTAAAACTTAGAATGTTTAATTAAAAATATAACACTGATTATTTATTTTATAAATTTAAATTAATAGTTTTAATGTTACGTAAGAATTTATATAATTAGTATTATATAATTATTTTTACAAAACAGAATAATAATAAAATAATATAAACATAATAATAATAATATTAATATTTGTTAAGAGATAAAATCTTTATCAAAAAACCGTCCCTAAAACAAATGAAGTCATCGTTACTCTTACTCATATTTTTTTCATTGAACCCAAATTTGATTTAGATTTTTCATTCTCTTTTAATTTCAACCTTCCTTTTCGAAATCGATATCATTTTCGAACACAAATTGATTTTGTATTTTATTCTTGTTTTCAATATGAGATCCCAAATCGATTTTCACCAAAGAGAAATCTCTTCAGAACCCAAATTCTTTGAACATCAGATCTCAACTCCAATTTTGTTTTCAACCTTAAAATCCAAATCGATTTTCACTGAAGGGAAATCAATTTCGCCCCAGAACCTAAGTTCGTTTTTAACTTCAGAATTCAAATCCAATTTTAATTTCAACCTGAGAACCCAAATTGATTTTCACCTTCAAAACCCAAATCAATTTCAACTTTCACCATCGAAATTGTTTTTACCTTCACCACCTTAATTGAAATCTTTGCCCCTTATAACTAAAATTAAAATAGCCGATTTCCCTCATATTCCTAATCAAAATTTCAGAAACTCTTGATGGTGCTGGTCGTCGTTTGCTGCGAGTGTGCCGCTGGTCCTATTTTGTTGCTATCATCTTTGTGTCTTCATTTTCTGTAAGTTTCAAAGCAATTTCAGTTATGTCGATTTGTTGAATGGTTTTATGGTCTGATTTATGTTTTAATGCGTGAATCTTTCTGTTTCAATATGTGAATCTTTATATTTTTCGGTTCTTCACTATTTTCTATTTCAGAAAGAACCGAGACACAAGGCATAGTTTAGATTCTTAATTATTTCACTATTTTCCATTTTGTGTAGTTATTGTTTGTGCTAAAAAAGAGAGAGAAGATATGAAGCATGGAAATAGATAATGTATGCTGTTACTGACACTGCATCATATGAATGAATTGGGCCGTTAGATGTTTGTATACTGTCTTTATAGACTGATTGTTGTTGAGTGAATGTTGTTTGTTATATATAATCAGATGATGCAATGTAAGGTCTACCTCACAGAATGGTATGGTGCCACACTGTCAGTGTGTAACTCCTAGTACACAAATTCTATTAAATTGAAATTCTTTGAAGCTCAACTGATTTTGATCTCCATGTTTGCATAACATCTTCTAAAAACAAAAAGGGTGGTCTTGGCTTATAAATGATAATATCTATAATTAATTTTTTTTTATTTTTTTGTTTTGGTTGAAACTTATGTATGTTTAATCTGATAAGAATTTAAAAGTTCTGATCATTGTTATTTATTTTGGGTTTATGTATACTTGTAGTATAGCTTTCTATTCTTTTACTGACTCATGATATTGTCAAAAAGATGCATGTTTTTTGAATTCTTTCTCTGAAAACTTGTAGTATAGGTTTTTATTGTTTTACTGACTCATGATAAGAACTTAGTTTTTTTTCTTCATGTTATTAAGTTATGCTTATCAAATAAAGATTAGCAAATAATTGATTGTGAAAATAATTACGCTTGATGTGTATGCCATTTTCTTATCTACATAGTGCAATAATTTTTCTTTACCTTTAAATAAAGCTGCATTATTAATGTCAATATATGCTCCAACAATTACTTTTTTTTGTTGCAAATATCTTAATTCATGAATGGATACCATGACATGTTTTTGTTGGTTTTGACTTGAAATGAAATAAATGGATTCACAAAATGAAATACCTTTGCTGCTATAATAAACCACCAAGAAAATTTAGAGTTTTTTATAGATTAACTTTTTTTTTGGGTAAGATTATATATTAATTTCAACATGAAGGATTCTCTCTGATGCGTGTAGGTGGAATGTAGAAAATTTCAGTTGATTTGAATTGAAAAATCTATAAACTTATATAGTTAGTTTGATGCATCTCTGGTTGAATCATGTAAATATTTTGTTTATATAGTAATTTAGAATTTATTTTTGTATGTATTCCACTTGTGATTGGAAAAATCAATGCTTATGTACACTCCAATGGGTTAACATCGTAAAGTTACATTCATTTATAATTTTAATTGTTTGGTTAGTTGTTGGGATTGGATGATTTCCATTTCTTGTTTGGATCAGATGACTTAGTTGGAGAATTCTATCTTGTTAATAATATATTTGTTGTTAAAAAAGGTAGTGGCTTAGATTTTTGTAAGAATTGTTTTGGTTGATTTGTTTTCATTTTCTTATGTAACAAGGTATCAATGAAGATGTTGACGAGAACGATGTCGTAAGTGACCAATTTCATGCAGACGATTCAAGTGATAAAGATGAATTATGTGAAGAACTTCAAGAGAACGACATGGGTGACGAGCTTCAAGAGGATGACATATATGATGAAGAGGGCAATGAAGATGATGATGAGTTTGACAAACTTGAATGAATTGGATGTTGTTGTTTTAGACTTGTTCATAAGCATTAGACTTAAAGAAACTATGTATTACGTTAGGCATTTTGTTTACCGGATACGATCTTGAATTAATGTTTGAACTCGATTTTATTATAATACAACTTTTGTGGAAGTACCGTTACATTTGATCTTGTTTAAGTTATAGTGAATATTTTTTATGGTGACATTGTAAAAGAACAGCCTATAAGTTATGACTACACTTTAAAAATGATCCTCCTAATTCATATTTAAGGCAATGCTTACTAATTATAGCCGCAAATGGCAATGCTTAAAAAACATTGCCTCAAAGGCCACAAATAATCGTCCCCTAATCCATTTGTTTAGGCGACGATTATAAAAAGCGTGCCCAAAGAACATGAAAAAATGTCCCCTTAGACAATAGGCAACGCTCGCACAAGAGACGCCTAGAAAACGTCCCTTATTCTTTTAGGCAACAATTTTCAGAGTTCTTGCAACGTTTTTTAAGTGTTGCCAGAGACAACAAATATTGTAGTGGAAACAATACGACCTCATCGATAAAGTAGAGCAGAACGCAAGCTTCTCACCTGAAGCTCAAGAACATGAGCATCAGTTACAACAAACGAACTAAGCACAATTATGACCAAGTTTCATCACTTTCACCTTCTTATTGATTTAAGATATTTTAAAAGGGATCACTTGTTGATGTTCTTCTATAACACATCCAATCATTTTGTCACTAAGTCAATACGATATGAATATGTCACCTTCTAATTGTATTGATGTACCTACTCATGAAGCATTATAGCTTCTTCATAGTATAAAGAGAACTTTCCTACAATTTTCAATAAGATAAACTAGGTACCCAATCCTTGTCGGGTCCTTGAGGGTGAGTAACATAATCATCGCAATTAGGTGACCATTGAGAAATGTTATTAGAGTCGCAATATTTCTTAATTTTATATTTGGCAATGGTATGTCCTTTCATATGACAGTAATAACAAGTTATATTTCAAAAGGTGTTAATTTTGCTTTTCACTTTCTTTCCAACAAAGCTATATTTTGCATATGGAGGATTCAAAGATTTATTAAACTTTGTTATATCTATAGCAAAAGTCACTTTTGATTGTAGAGCCTTTGTCACTTTAGCATTGAGATTTCTTACCTCATTTTGCCAAATATAACATGTATCACAATCAAAGTTAAATGGATTGTCATCCATCTTATTTTTAACCTTATGAATACCTACAAGAGAGTTCTTTAAAACTTTAATTTTATTTTTCAATTTCTATAATTTTTTCTTCTAAATAAGAAAATATTTTCTATTTGAAGCCAACCTTTTAAAAGCTTCAATATCTCCCTTGTGTAAATTTTCAAAGGCGTCAAGTAGATTAAGATGAGACTATCCATTTACAAAATCATTTTGAGATGAGTTTACCTTGTTAATGTTACCTTTTTGATGATGATGAATATCATTACTTGTAGATGCTATTATCCTTTTCTTCTTATCTTCATATGATAATGATCTAAGAGACACACTTCATCATACTTGGAGGTTTCGTGTCCTTTATTTCTTATATCATTGAGATGAGTTAAAAAACACACATCTTCTAAATCGTCATCTTCAATAAACTATTCATCACTTGAGGATTCAGCGTCACTTCCCCAAGCCACATAGGCTTTCCTAGGTTTATCATGAATCTTGAGTTGATTCCTCTATTTATTTTTGTAAAGGTTGGAGTCATCCTTTTTGGATCTTTCTTCCTTAAAGGATGTAGTTTGTTCTTTAGGCTCAGTGCTTCTTTTGTTGAGAATTTTATTATTTCTCATATTCAAATACTTGTGATACCTTTTGAAAAATAAAGTCATTTATTCCTCTTCCTAATTTTAGTTGTTATTAACATCTCTATCATAATAATAGTGCTCATCCTTTGAGGACTTTGAACTTGAAGTCATGAGAGCTTTAGACTTTTATACTTCCTCATTATTAGTATATTTTCCTTTCTTCTTCTTTTTCACACGCTTCTTTTCATATTTATCCAATCAATTGAGTTCTTTCTTGTGTTTTTCTAAATTTCCAATAAAGGGTGAGAGATCGAGTGTTACAAGATTATTGGCTTCCTTGATCGAAGTAACCTTTGGTTGCCAATTCCTAGTAAGATATATCAACACCTTGTTAGTAGCAATAGCATTGAAAATATGATTACCTAGTAAATTGAAACTAATAAGACGTGAGAACCGCTTTTTCATTTGAGAAATGGTTTCCCCTTGCTTCATGCGAAAGAGTTTAAACTCTTGATTTAGTGTATTAATTCTAGCTTGTTTGACCTTATCATCTCCCTCATAGGTAACTTTATGAGCATCTCATATAGTTTTAGCGATTTTACAATGGGAAATGCGATAGAACTCATCAACATCAAGAGAAAATACAACAATGTTCTTTGCTTTCCAAATGTGTGACCACTTCTTATTATCATTCTCATTCTAGAAGTTTTCCGTCTTAGGTACGGTAGAACCATCAACAATATATGTCACCAGTGTTGGACAATTTTGAATGGCTTCCCAAACACCTTTGTCATATGAGTTGACATGAATTTGCATATAAGCTTTCCAATAACTATAATTTTCATCCGTGAAAATTGAGGCTCTTTCATAATGCCCTTTAGGTTCGTAAGCTATTTTCTAAATAGTGTTAAAGCCGGAATGAACCGAGCTCCTAATATCACTTATTAGACGACGACAACGTATCTAAAAGGGGATGAATAGATAATCCTTTAAAAATTTAGACAAAAAACTGGTTTTGAAAAAGATATTTTATCAAAGAGCGACACATAAGCTTTTTCAAAATGTTGTCTATATGAATGTTATTGGAGGCTGGGATATGCAAACTGTAACAACAAATTCAATATGGAATAAGAATAACAAATTCAATTAATATATTTGAATCACTTAATAGCTTATTTAATATTTATCACAAGTTAGTAGGAAAGCTATTTCTAATGGCAATATTAAAAAGAACAAGGTGAATCAATTTATCAAACACTTGGTGTGCAAGTGAATTTTCTTAATTTTTCCTTTAGTTTTGTTGATACTATTTACCGTGAAAATTGATAAACAACTGCTAGTCTTCTAAAACAAAAAGATTTGGTTTCTTACAGGATCAACTAGATTGATCCTAGGATATGTGTTTTGTTTCGTTGGTTTATATCTTTCGAATGTCCATCTTTTCAATGGTTATGGTTAAATTGTAAAAGACAAAAATTCTATGTAAAGTGACTATATGAAAGTAAACAGATTTTGACTTAAAAGTAAAAGGGATGATAGAGATTCTGGTAAATATAAACTGACCATTAATTAAAATACGGTTATTCATATATATGTTCTCAAAGACTATTTTCTCTAAACACTGGTACTTCGAGTTTATATGAGTAAGTGGTACAAAAGTGAACACATTAAAATCTAACATTAAGACCCTAATTATACTATTTCGACCATAACTGTCTTACTCTATAGATATGACACGTTCTACACTGCATGCTTCGTTGAACCCTTAGGCTTCCACGCATCTTCCTGGATAAGATCAAACATTTGAATTCAAAAATCCACTTTGAGTTACAACGTCAAAATCACAATGTGACCTATCGAATTGTTTCAAATTTAAATTTTCACCTCCTCTTAAGTCCCACATACACTACAACAAATAATACATTTCATGATGGAACATTTCACCTCACCTAATAAAAATTCAAAGTGTAAACCATAGACGCGTCTTTAATTTAAAAAAATATATATATGTTCCCTCAATTTTGATGGAAACCGAGGAGAAATGTATTTAAAGAATGTGTCTGAATCCCAACAACTACATTTTATCATTTTTTAATTTTTTAAAATTATTAACAGGAATTTACCCCTTAATTTTTATTAAAACCCAAGGTAAAAAGTAGTGCAGTTCTAAAAATAAAAAATTTTAGTTGCTGGGGATCGAACCCATGACCAATATTACCTTGAATTTTTTTTTAAATTTTTTTAATAACCTATTACCTCAGTTTTGCTAAAAACCGAGGAATAAAGTAGCGTATTTTTTTTTTAATTTATTTTATTTATGATCAATTTGATGAAAAACTAAGTAACAAATCTTTACCGTCCATTTATAAAGTAACAATGGTCAAGACATTGTCAACTCATCAATCCACGTGAAACATTAATGATTCATATGAAACTCTCACTAGTCAATCAAAACATGTAAGCTACAACTATTCATCTTGGATTCAAAGTGCTAAAATTTAAACTTAACATATTGATAATAGTGATAATTAAAGAAAGAGAAGACAAATATTTCAAGGTTATTTTATTAATATAATATTTTATCTAGTAATTCGTTGTTAAAATTGTTTAGTATTAGTTATAATTATATCTATTAGAGATAAAAAGATGGTTTTGTTTTTAGCTCATTATGGTGACACTCTTTGATTGAAGAAGTCTGAGACTTATCTCTAACAGTATCAAGTAAAATAATTAATATTGTTATTATTGTAGAAATTTAGTGTTTAACGATTATATTGATTTTATTTATTTGTCGTTGTTGTAGATGTTATTGAGATTTAATGTTTAAAGATTCTATGGATTTTTTTTATTGTTGTTGTGTTACTTCTGTTGTTGAGATTTAATGTTTAAGTATTCTATTGATTTTGTTTATTTGTTGTTGTTGTTGTTGAGATGTAATATTTATATATTCCATGGATTTTGTTGTTGTTTTTTTTGTTGTTGTGAGAATTAATATTTAAGGATTCTATTGATTTTGCTTTTGTTGTTGTTATAGGTATTGTTGTTGATGATGATGAGGAATATATAGATTTTGTCAAAAATATAAGTTCTTTACGGATTAAAACGTAAAAAAACAGGTTAAAATTGAAATCTTGTAAACAAAATTTTTTCCCTCGGTTTTTGTTTAAAACCGAGGTAAAAAGTAGCACAGTTTTGAAAATCTAAAAAATGTAGTTGCTAGGGATAGAACC